CTCTTTTACGAACCCTTGGGTTCCCCAGTCAATAGCCAACATTCTTCGATTGTTAGAGAAACGCCACTATCTGTAATCTGCGCCAACTGGGTGGACTCCTTTCGAAAGTCTATGGATTCTGGACTGCCAATTTTGAGTCTAGTTTTCTTCTGTGGCCGGCGGCAAGAAATTTGCCAACATGATACCGGTGGTATTATGATTCGGTGTTTTCTCGCTCAGATTATCACACTGGACCGGGAACACAACTTGGGGTTATTTTCCCCGAAGGCGCAAGACTCCACGCTTCAAGCAGCGTTCAGTCAAGAAGGCAGTGTCGAAGATCTTTGCCGCAGGTTCGAGAACGTCATCAACCTCTTGGGCCCAGCGACAACTATAGTCTGCTTCATCGAGGGGCTCGGTTTTTGTCGGGAGGAAGTCTCCTACGAAGACGTCGGTAAAATTATGTGGTGTCTGAACAGGCTGGTCAACGAAAGCAAAGAACAGCCCAACGTCAAAGCAAAGTTCAAACTCATTTGTACAAGCCCTCGAGTCAAATGGCCTAGCTTATTTTTCCTTGACCAGGCGGGTTTGCCGGCATTCGATTGACAAACGAGACTTAGCTTTAAGATGCACCGTTTCAACTGCACTCGTGCCAAATCGATCAGGGCTGAGAACAGAAATCATCCGCTCTTATTGAAAGTCTATATTAGTACGTTTGCATTGATTGTTGGACATGGGATATAAGCAACATGAAAAAACAATATAAAAAGGGAAAACGAAAAAACAAAAGTGAGAAGGAACAGAAACAAAGGATTCAAAACGCGGAAAAATGAATTATGTTAGTATGAGCTAAGCTCTAGTCTTTGCTATTAGTGTTTTGGTAATTTATATTACTAAGAAAAAAGTGTCGAATTATAATCATCATTATCTACTTACTTTGTGCACTACAATATGAAAGAGTGCTGGATAATATGACATACATATGTTTTCTATACCACTAGGAAGTTTCAGCACGTCTTGCGATTAGTAAACCACGCGTGCGATGAAGACTCTGGATGTTATGATGGACCAGTATCGGCTCCAAACAACTTTGTTATCTGCATGCGGGTTGCTCAGAGTACGTCTCTCAGTTTTACCCGCAGCCTAAGTATGACGTATCACTTGGGGTCAAAGATCGATCATGATGTACGCCTATCGGTGAAGCCTTCTCAAGATATCTAAGGTAATTAAAACGGGGAATTTCGCGAATAGAGCGGTGCAGTTCCCCGGAGTCGAGACCATAAGACTATAAGCGAGGGGCTCTCGCCGATAATCATACATTGCAACCCTTAGTACACCATCGACGTCAGTTTCATCGTCTTGAGGCAGGAGCTCATCGCCCCAGAAATGGTTCAGAATTATGCACACCCTCTCTGCTTTGCAGAGGGACGCGCACTAAAGACTGATTCAATTGTCGGATTGTCAACGCGATTGTGTCGTCTACGCGCTACGATAGTGAACAGGTGCACATACTTTGCACCCGTTTCCCGCCCTGTCACTATGAGCCGAGGTGCCAAACCCGGGATGGGTCCACCCCACCGGTTTGCTTTCCCACGCCGATGCGAGATCCATTGTTCAAAACTAGGATTGCAGGCAATTCGACCGACTTTCATCCGATCGGCCGACCATTTTGTAAGCCAATACGTAGATTCGGGCTTGAGGTTCGTCCGCGACGCTACAAACTTGGAAAAGGAGGTCTTTTGGATTTTATCACTCGTCCAAATTGCTTCAAAGCTGAAGTTGAAGAATATTACATGTATGAGTCTGCTTCATTACAGTTGGAAACCATCTTTCCCCGTGTCTGATATCATAGAATATTCCGAAGAAAAAGAAGAAGCAAAAGAAGAACGATTCTAATCACTATGGCACAAAACCTCACCCATTCCGATAAGTCCCCGACATCTAGTCATCCCCGGCACGTTGCAATTGTTGGTGTAAGAACAATGTTACCCACATATACCCAAGGTCATTACATAATCTCAACGCACAATAGGCAGGAGGAGAAATTGGCTCGCATATCACTAGAGAGCTCTTGAGAACTAAGAAACACCAAGTCACTGCCTTGACTCGGGCGGAAAGCACTAGCACAATTCCTGATGGGGTGCTTGTTAAGAGAGTCGATTATGAAGACCGGTCCTCTCTTGTCGATGCTCTTTGTGGAAAGGATGTCCTGATTATCACTCTTGCCGGAAATGCCCCGCCGGAGCAGGAAGCCAAACTTATTGAAGCCGCAGCGGAGGCTCACGTCGCCTGGGTCATTCCCAATGAATGGGGACTCGACTCCGACGATAGATCTTTGGCCGAAGATTCGATCCTCGGCGAAATGAAGCAGAAGACACGCCGTTATATCGAGAGTCTCGGGAAGAGTTCTTGGATCTCACTGGTCTGCGGCTTCTGGTATGAGTTCAGCTTGGCCGGCGGCGCAGAGCGTTTTGGCTTTGATTTTCCGAATCGTACAATTACCTTCTACGATGAAGGCTCAACAAAGATCAATACCAGCACCTTGGAACAGTGTGGTCGAGCCATCGCACAAGTACTCAGCTTGCAGGTACACACCGCAGAGAACGAGAAAGACGGCCTCACTCTTTCGCAGCTCAAGAACCAGCCCGTCTATGTCTCATCCTTTTTGGTGAGCCAACGAGACATGTTTGAATCTGTCCTCCGTGTCACTGGTGCCACTGAGGGAGACTGGAAGATTAAGTACCAGGATGTCCAGCAGCGTTACGCCGAAGGGAAAGCAGAGATGCAGAGGGGAGACATGACTGGGTTAGTCAAGCTACTCTACGCAAGAGACTTTTTCGTCAATGGCGGTGGCAACTTTGAAGCATCGAGGGGTCTGCATAATGGCACTTTGAGCCTACCGAGGGAAGACTTAGATGATCATACGAGGACTGCCATAACGAACGTGTAATGTGTCGCAACGCCGCCCGTGGTGCTGCCCACTTATCACCGTACGAGACTGCTTGCTACGAGACGAATGCCTTCTTAGTACGGTAGTTAGTTACGACCCTTTAAGGGTGCCTCACTTAGAAGAACCAAGCCAATTTCTACTGTATATGTCTTCCACTTAGATCCTCGCTTTGTAACATAATGATCATAAGGTCGCCCCCGATGATGCATGCGGGGACGGCGGATATAGCGCCCATAGTGAATAGTTTAGCGATGCAGACAGCGACGTTGATCAAGGTGTGACACGTCGCTCAATCCAGAATAGCGGCTCTGCGAATGCCAAATGCTGAGTGCCACAAATTTGCGACAATACCAATGTGACCGATCACCCATATTTCACATCCAGAGCTCTAGTGTCATAGCTAGAGCGAGTAATCAAGGTTTTTTTGGATGTTATCTCAGCTAGAGGCTATTCTCTCGCAGAAAGTCCTCCCAAGTGCCTAGCGAATGGCTGCCTGGAACCCCATGTAGTTGCTCAAGAGTCCAAACCACATCTGTTGGCCCTGCGGGTCCAAAATACCCAACCTCTTCTACGAAAGCAAGCCCTTCTTTGAAATTATGAGCCAGCTCTTCGGGGAAGCCAGGAAGGGGCTCGTCTGCACCAAGTTGTTTGTAAACAACTTCTGTTCCCTTCACTCTAGTCCAGGCGGCCGCCATTTCATTCATGCTATAGTATGCGGTCGCGCAAGCAAGATTCTTGCCATGGAATACTGCCGGATCAAGAAGTGCAGGGGCTAAGAATTTGCCAGTGTCGCGGATATCGATAAGGGGCAGTTGAGTCGATGGTGACCAGGGCTGGCTAAAGATATAATAGGTCCCGTCGCTAACCTAGGGAGGATGGTGTTAGTCAAGAACAATGGTTTTAGGGCTGCGGCTTTCTTCCCGCGTGTTATACTCGTTGGCCTCAGCTTGAATCCCCTCATGTCGTTGGAAGAAATTGCAGCAGCTGGGCTTTCTGCAGCGTTGTACGAGCTACGCGCAATGGCGTGCGGACTTTTTGAGCGACTTTCAAGGGAGAGAGAGAGGTGGAGGTGGGAGAGGAAGGGGGCGTCTTACAGGTAGAAGTGCTGGGACCTGCGCGTAATTCTGCATGAACCAGCCGGCCATATAGAAGGTGCTCATGATTTCGAGACCCCGAATGTATTCCTCAACCACAGCCTTGCTTTCAAAGTGCCGAACCACATCAATCCGGCCACCAGAAATCTTAGAAATGCTGGGTAGCGAAGACCAAATGATTTGGTCAACCCCAGCGGCGACGCAGGCATCGGCGATGGCCTTGCCTTGGCGAATCTCTCTCTCAACGCCAGGCTCTTCCCAGTCTGTGTTTGCGTCAAGCAGTTAGATTCGGGCGCTGTAGGACATGAAGGATTTGACAGGCTTGAGTAGGTGATGGATGATCATAGACATACAATTCGTTACTGCAAACACCACCTGTGCACCGGCAACTGCCTTTTTCAATGATGCCGGGTCGTCCAGGTTCGCCTTGGAGAATTGTAAATAACGTTAATAACGCCAAGTGTTTGAAGATCAAGGACTACTCACCTCCACTAAGTCGACACCTTGACGTCTGAGAGCAACTGCTGCGGGCTTGGAGGCATCTCTGGACACTGCTCTCAGCTGGAAGAAGGATGAGAGTGCTGGTGTATTGAGCACGTGGTTGACCAGAGCACCACCTTGCTGGCCCGTAGCTCCAAAGACCGTGAGGAGCCTAGTCATAGTGGCTGGATACACTGGACTGTCTGTGTTCAAGACGAGTATCGTGGGGTCTCGTACACAAGGTTGACGAAAAGGCTACTCATGACTAGAGGGACACAGTGTAGGGCTTCATGCTATCCATATCATTATATAAAGTTGAGGTTCGTTGTCTGGGACCAGACGAGGCTAGTTTTGGCCAGTCATGGCGCCTATCACAGGTGGTTTACCCAATCAATTACACAGCGTGGATATCCGTAGGTCAAAATTTTATTTATCAGCATGGCGATCCAGTTCTTCCGTGAAGATGCCTGGAACTTCAGAATAGGTGCCGACTACAGATGCCGAGCCCGGACGCCGAGCCCGGACGCCGACCACCGGCCCGAATCCCGTTTTTACGTAAGATATTGGCGACGACACTTTCTCCACAGGGGATCGCTTCCAAGGTCCTACAGAAACCTGTACCACTACCTATAATAATCAAGCATGATTGCATCTATCAAGTCCCAAATATCACGGCCAGCTCTTGACGTCTGGTATCAACAGTCAGGACGACCTTTTCAAACGCTGCAAGTTTCCACAGTTCACACCAAACGGCTTGTTTCCAAGATGCGGCAGCCGAAAGTTTTCTTAACTGGAGTTTCTGGTTACGTTGGAGGGCACTTATTTGTACGACTCGTTCAAAAACACCCAGAGTGGAACTACTCAGTTCTCGTTAGGACAGAGAAGCAGGCTGTCGACATTTTGGCTAAGTACCCAGACATCGAGGTCGTAATTGGTGACTTGGACAACAAAGATATCCTGGTCAAGGCTGCTTCGACTGCAGATATCGTTTTGCGTTCGTGGGCACCCATTCCTTTCAGATAGGATATGTGTGCTAATTCTTTCTACCGGCAGAGCTTGCATCAGCTGATCATCTTTCTGGAGCTGTGTCTTTGGTCGAAGGCCTCAGCCAAGGGCAGTCAGCTCCGGGGAAACTGATCCATATTTCCGGAACAGGAATGGTTCTTGACGTCTCCAAGGGATTTGGTAAATTCACTTAGGCTCATCTAAGCTAGAATGAACTACTCACCTCTCTACTAGGCGTTCTTAGTGACAGAACATGGAATGATGTCGACGATATCGAAGAAATTTCATCCTTGCCGCTTGAGGGACACGTACACAGAGACGTCGACGAAGCTGTCCTCGAGGCTGGCGAACGATTGCACGTGCCAGTGGCAATCATCTCGCCCTGCACGATTCACGGCCTTGGTCAAGGCCCTCTGAAGAGCATGGGCTTCTCTGTTGGTGGATACATCGAGAAGGTCATAGATCGGGGCAGAGGTTTTCAAGTTGCAGAGGCTCAAAATCAGTGGCATCGTAGGTCCACGTCACCTTTATGGCCTTACACACATCCAAATGCTCACTACCGCGCAGAAATCCATATCGACGACTGTGCGGATGCTTTCATCCTGCTTGCTGAAGAAGCAGCAAAGCCTGATGGAGGAAAGGCGCAGTGGGGGCGTAAAGGATATTACTTTGCTGAAAGTTCGCCATATGTAAGTGGCTGGCATGGGCTGTGCTGAAATCTCATTCCGTTTCATCGATTAACAATTCCATAGGATCTGAAAGACATAGCCGAAACGGTTGCACAAGTACTTTATAAGCTAGGGAAGATCAGCTCACAAAGAGTTGACAAATTGTCAGAGCAAGATGTGTCCGCTATCCACCCCATTGGACATTTTGTCTGGGGTGGTAATTCCAAGGCCCGAGGGGATCGTCTCCGCGCTTTGGGTTGGAAGCCCACCGGACCAGATATATTAGCAACCCTGCCAGAAGTAGTGAAGCTTATAGTGAAGTCGAAGGAGGTGAAGTCTACCATCATGTAGATCCACCCCTGTCGAAGCTCATGTCGCTATCAGTGGCTGCTGTGGGTGAATCACTTGTAGCCCTTAAGTTATGGTCAATAGTCACGCAACCTGTCATAACACTATAACACTTCTCTTGCCCACACAGAAGCTTTTTGCCAGACTGGGCAGTGCAAGTAATCGAGTAGGCACTGCCTGGAAGCAAAATTCGGACATGAGTGTGACTGATATTCGCTCGCACCGAATCGGCTAAATTTCAGGCAATAGGGTCGCATTCTGCTTTCGTCAACGTGCAAATCGTCTTTACGCTAAAGTTGAGTTCAATATGTAATCAATTCACAGCTAACACTAATGCAATTTATCCCCATATGTTATCAATTTAGTTTTATTCCTGAAAGAATTCTCGAAATGAAATTCTATTTTCATCACAATCTTCATAAGGCTGTGGTTTTAATCGCCTAAACGTTCAAATAAATACTTTATGTCCCCCTATCACATCGTCGGGTTTACCAAGACTCGAGATTATACTTCTTCTCGAGGAACAAACCGTTTTTGAAAGGAAAGACAGCTGCTGCCCGAATATTTCATGCAGCCAGATGCCGTGCAACCTCAAGTCTTACCACCTGCTACTCCTAAAGAAGCATTAAAGAGCTATTGCCTTTGTTGCCTGATACCGTTAGAACCGCCTGAGATAGACCTAGGTACCACACCCAAATTGAGCATGAACCCCGATCTAAGGCAGGCCTTGAAACATATCACAAGGAACTGACTCCCGCGAGGCGCTGCGTGGGCTTTTTGGACCGCAAAGACTTCTTCCTATTGGACCGAGAAACGCCCAAAGACAAGCAAACACGGTTGAGAGCGCTTAGGGGTCTGCACAGGTGAGGAGGAACAGTGGCTATCAATGAACCATGCTGTTTCACAATACCAAGGAGAATGGTTACCGCCCCCAAGTTGACATCAATGCTGGTGAAAAGGAGATTGGAACACGCGTAGATCACTCACTGTACTACCTTACATCAAGCCATCACCGCCATCGATGTTCGTGTTCAGAGCAGATGTTCACAAGGTTCTAGTTGAGCAAATACAGTGTGCGCTTTTAAGCCTAGTCACTGCTGGAAAGGTAGCTCAACATCAAAAGGTCAGTCCATCTTGGGATTTGGTATTTGTAGGATGGGGGGCAGCCGATTTGGAGCAGAGATTACTATAAGTTTCAGCAGCCGATCTGTCGACTTTTCTTCCTGATCAAGCCTCAACCAACGAATCTTCACACCTCCACTGAAGACATTCTCAGTGTCCCAGGTCCATATCTTCGCAGCTTGCCAGTCCTTTCGCCGGTGGTAGAAGACCCAACAACCACCTTCTCATACAAGAACTGTCAGAAAGCCGAAGCCACGCGACCCAGCTGCAAGTTAATTTCAAACCCAAATTTACCTGAAGACATACTGCCGCTGGTCAATTAGTGGTGAGCTCGCTGCAAGATCTTTCCCTTTAATGTCTCCTCACCTGATGGCGAACTGACATGTAAGACCAGGACATTGAATTGCCTATCATGTCGTCTCCGGAGTCCACCTCTGAGAAAGGAGTCTGGGATAACATGCAGGACCTCATTCTCGAGAATCAACGTCCCGACATTTGGTGGGTCCACGGCCGCGACGAGCAGGATCTTCAATGGGTGGGAGACAATGAGGTCAGGTTGTACCATGCTTCGCGTGAGGTTTCTGGACCACTTTGGTCTCAAATTCTGGCCTCACGCGAAATAGCCGCATGGGAACAAGTCAGAAAGTCATGCATAGTGCTCATCGACTGCGACATGGACTCTGATCTTCTGTGGGACAAGTATCATTTGAGTGAACTATCGGTGTTGTGTCGCAGGTTGGCCGGGCAGAAGCGGAGAGAGTTCGCTCAAAAAAAGCCCTTCGGCTCTCTAGTCTTCTTTATGGGTGGCTCGGAGCATCATCCTGAACGCCGGGAGGCCGAGTCGGGAATCGTTGCTCTGACCATGATGACATCCCTAATCTACCAAATCCTTGAAAGGTACGCCAGACAGTGCTGCTCGGATGAGGGTGGTAAAGTCCTTGCCTTTGAGAGCGCTAAAAAAGACGATGTCGAATACCTATGCAGGTTCTTCAGAGATTTGGTTCGTAAAGTGTCCTTGGAAGTCGAACTTACATGTTTTATCGACTTCATTGGTCGACATGACACAGAAGATGGAATGGACATTGTCACAGAAAACTTGATCGGTCTGGTCGAAGACCAAGCAAACCTCGAAAAAGAAAGAAGTCCGAAACGTCAGGCGTTTAAATTGGTATTCACGGGCCCAGGACCCAGAGGGGGTCTCCAGATTCATAATCTCCTCTACGAAAAGCGGCACATTGCTGCCTCCTACTACGTGAAGCTTCCAGTTGTAACTGATGAGGATCGGAGCTTCTCAATGACATGAGAAAGGTCGCTTCCGACGGGTCTGGCCTCTGGAGAAGTTCAGGCTCACAGGGACAGTGCCCAAATCGATAAAGAGCATTAGGCTTCACAAATATCAATTGAGTCATTTCATACTTTACCCTTAGAACCGTAACGACCACCATGCGTTCATGCCTTAAGGTGCAACGACCTCGAGCTGCGACATTGCTTGTAGGCAACATCCCCCTCCCCTCCCTCACCGAAAAGGTCAATTTCGTTCTTTTAGTTTTGGTACTTGTCTCTATCAACGCGTATTCACAAGTGAGGTAGGTTGCCCTAATCATCGTGGATGTATAAGCTCCCAACTTATCGAGTTCCCTTCATGTTTCTTTGAATCACTTGCCCGTGGATCTGGTCTATATAATAGTTCCAAGAATCACTCCATCGTATCCAAGATAAACCTAGACGTCGTATTTTTAATATTGCAAGGTGGCTACATTGGAGTTCAGCTTACATCCAGCTCGCCAACGTCGTAAGTAAGAGTGGCGCTTTGCAGTCATGTGCAGCTGAGAGACTACTCCAGGAGGTGCCTTACTTTTCTAGTGAGACTCCAGTTGGTAAGATCAGCCGAGGATAGACCAAATGTCATTTGAATCTTTGTTGGATAAGAAACAGCTGCCATGCTTGAATGTCTTTCGCCGTACTTACCTTTGGCTCTTCAAACTTCAAGGTCAATGGACGTCTGTGCGGTTCAGTATGGTGTCCACCTGCGGCACAAAGAAAAGTCTTCACCGCGTTCCGGTTAGACAGAATGATACGGATCAGCTGTTCAGGAGAATTCAGAAATGAGGGCACTCTCCCATATTCTAGGTACAATAGGACAGCCCCGGCTAACGAAACAGCACACATACAAAGAAGATGTTTGGAGCGAATAGATCACCGCCCCGGAAATCATGGTGCATTCATCGAAGCCTGGCTACGGATGTCATTTATTTCATTCCTACTTACAAGGAAGTCAATCAACTTGTCTTGGCGCTGTACTAGAGATCACCTAGTAGATATATATACCGGTCACCGGAGAGCTTTTTAGCTTCCGGCAGCTTCCATCCTCAGCAGCTCACTTTGAATCTACCTGATATTTTGCCAGTCGACTAGACCTTTGATCAAGACGTACACCTACTATTCATTTAAGGTCACGAAGTATGAAATTCTTGCCATCTATATCACTCTACCCTCTGTACTAACTACCTTACTGAGGATCAAACACAACAGAATGCTCCGAGTGTTTGACCTTCCTGATTATGTAGACCCAGATGCGGAACGAAGACGCAAACAATGGGAGGGGATGTCGCTTAACTTTTGGGCTAGGCGCTTCGATACGCGTTGTTTGGAGGATGTGGGACGCCACGTAATTGGTTCCGCGGAGGATCAAGCTAGAACGATCTCTGCAGATAAGAGGATCGTGTTCACCTACACCGGCTCCAGTACGACATCCGAAACTTCAAACCCAGTGTTGATCATCAGGAAACATTCCTGTCCCGATCCCGAGACTGCATGGACGGAAACCGCATTATCAATGGTCTGCAAGATATATGTCGAAGACAGTCGAACGCAGCTAAAGAACGAGGGTATTATTCGCGGACAACCAAGAGACCAGTTCCTTAGTCTTGTCATCTTCTGTGGCCACGAGTTCCCAAATGACGCAGAGATCGAGTTGACGATGGTTCAATCCCTCGTTGGCCAGATCTTGAGGCTATGTGGGTTCGACTTTTTTGACAATGACGCGCAGTGCACTTTCAAATTCTCGGATGAGTCCTGGCTTGACCATTATTGGGACGTTTTCAAGCGCCTGGTACGACAATTACCAAGACAGATGACCGTCATCTGTTATATCGACAACCCCGCCGAACTACCAGCCGAAATCTTCGACTCTTTCATTCTAGGAAAGCTGGTGGCTCTATACAAAGAACAAACGGAATTGGCGAAGGAGGAAGAAAAGGCGCAATTCCTAATTATCGCCACGGACCCGTCTGAATTTGGGGATTTTCGCATTTCTGAAGCGGTAGAGAAGGTGGGGTTGAAGGTGCAATCATTCTTATATTACATGGAGAGCACAGAGACCGGGGAATCACTTCGTCACTCACAAGTTATTGGATCCAAATGAAGTACGACTGGCACCATGTTCCAAAACATCACTACCAATTTGACAAGAGGCTCAAAGCCAGTATCACGAGTTATGGAACGCATCGACAGCTATACTGAGTGGCCGGAAGGAGCGAATACCAACGACAGACCCTTTTATGGTGCAAACATAGGTCCAGTCTCATTCCGTCGGTGAACTTCAAGTCGCTATTTCAAGTAGAATTATTTGTCTGTTTTGCTTCAAGAAAAGAAAAAACAAAAGAAAAACAGCAGAAAACCTAAATTTAAATAAAAAAAAAACTATCGCATTATTATAATTTTAATTGTATTGTTATGAAGCCAGCGCTCTGTTGGATTTCTCAACGTACATTTTCAAGCATCCGCGAGTGTGATTCAACGTAGTTTAGAAACCTCGCCTTTCCTAACTATTTTACGTAGATGACTTTTGTAATAATTCACTGTCTTACATTTACCACCTTAAGGTTTATGTCGAATTAATCTCATAGCGTATGGTGGTAATGTCCTTGGTATATTGATTAGCTAAAAGCCTTGATGTTACTCCTCGTAATACTGCAAAACAGGGCTAGGTTTATCTAAAGTAGATACGTAATGAATTTCAGACATGTCCGTTTAGAACAACCAACCTATAACAACTGCCTTCAAGGCTCTGCCTCTACTTTGAGATCGGAAGTCTTCCCTTCTTCACTTTTGATCTTTTCATGGCGGAAAGCCTTTCTCAACTCGCATTTTCCAACACTCTTACCACCAGCTTTGCACTCGCTGCATACCTTGCCGTGCTTTACAAGCAGGATGTGAAGCCCATACTTGTCTTCATCTGGGATTCTAACATCGAGATGTGCGTGGGTTTCGTCCCGCGAGGCGCTCTTCGGCCGCCACCCCATGAGACCGGTGATTCTCCACACATGGGTATCCACTGCGAACGACTCCCTCTGCAGACAAAAGAGAAGAACGCAACTAGCAGTCTTCGGGCCGACGCCCTGAAAGCTAATGAGCTCCTGCATCGCGTCTTCATTGCTGACATTGAAGAGATGATCGAGAGAATACGAGCCGTACTTCTCCTTGACCTGGTTCAGGATGCCGACAATGACCTTGCTCTTGACTTGGCTCAGCCCACCGCACTTGATGGCTTCCTGCAGCTTGGGGATCCCGCCCTCGACAATCTTCTCCCACTCGTCGCTGCCACCGTAGACGTCGTCCATGCTCCTCTTGGCGCGGGTGGAGTTTGTGTCGCTCGTGTTCTGGCTCAGGATGGTCCTGACCAGCGCATCGAGGACGGACGGCGAGTCTCCGCAGCCGGCGCGGGTTGAAGATGCCTTGACTTCGGCAGGGCGTTCTCGTTTTCCGTGCAGTTTGGCCAGAATGCGGTGGGCCAATTTGCACTCGTCCGGTGTCGGGTGCGGGAAGTCAGGAAAGGGTGACTTGTCAACGTATTGAGAGTAGGCCTTGAGCTTTTTGGACTTTAAGTCTGCAGGAGACTTTTGGACTTTTGCTTTAGTGTCTGGGCTTTCAGATTTGACGTGTTCCTTCTTGAGTGGTGTCAGGGCTGGTACGTTGGCGAAATCCGGGGACGCCGTGTGGTCCGCATCCTCCGTCTTGACCTTTTTGGCCGGTGTTGAGCTTGCAGCTTTGCTTGTTGTCCGTTTCCTTTTCTCTGGCTGAGGCGTATTCTCCTTGTCCGACGAAGTCTGCTTCACAGACCGACCCTTTTTTGTTGCGCCATTGGTAGCACTCGGGGTGTCTGATGGCTTCGTGGCAGTCGAGGCCAAACGAGCACTCGAACGGGTTGCTCTCGCCATCGCGATGAAGACAGGTCGCATGCACTGATATGAGTGGATTGATGAGCGGTACCTTGAGGCAATTCGATATGAATTATACACGAAGCGAAGTAGTCAAGATGAGTGGATAAGGCAGGCTGGAAGGTGAGTTTAACGCTGCATGGCCGCTGTCGCTGATCCAGGGGTCGAGCAATGACGATGCAGAAAAGCACGTTGCCGACGCCATCACCGCGCCCTCAGTGGTGATGTCAACGAAATGGACCCACCGAGATCCACCACCCGCCTCGACAGTCAATGAAAACGCGATGGTTCCTGGCCCGTGCCTGGTCGACACGCACAGACCATGCGATCATGACCACCAGGTTGAGCTCCGAGGGAAGGAACCTACCTCAATTACTCCGTAACGAACGTAGGTAAGGCAGGAACATCGCGTCGTGACTTCTTCATCGTGTTTTTCGTTTACCATTAAGTTTTCGGAGTTGCCATTGCACCTTCCTTTCTCCAGTTTCTGAGACTCCACCCAATCTACCTATGGTACCTGAGGTAAGGTACCTTTAACGTACCTACTTGTACGTCTCTCTCAAACTGGAAAGACGAGCAACAAGAAGAAGGGGAAAGGTCCCCCCGGCCTCCGGTACATACGGATCGTAAGTACGTACCTCCACCTTGCTTGAAGGCTCCCGTCCAGCTCCTCTAGTCCTCCTCCAATCTATCCATCAAATGAATATTTGCTTTTTTCTTCTTCGCGCGACCAGCACTTGCGACTTGGCGCATTCACGACCAGCTGATGCTGCCCTCGAGAAAATCTGTGCCAACGAGTGCAACCTGAGTGCAGCATACCCAGGCCGCAGCACCCTAAGCCTCTGAAGCAGCCACTCGCATCTCGGCGAATCGCCCTCGTGCCTCTCTCAGCCCTCCATTGCCAACGCATTCCACTTCTTGGAGCACAACCTGTCCTCCACGCACGCACGGCATCATAGGCACTTGGGGGTCGGAATTGATACCTCACCATCAGTGATCACAGCCGGCGACGGGCCCGGAAGGCATTCCCCGTCCTTACGCCGTGACAGACCCCCCGCATCATACACCGGACATCCCTGAGGACTGGCACGTCGCCCACGTGCATGATGGCCCCCTCAAGTGGACTCGCCTCCATCCTAACGGACGTATCTCGTTCAAGAGGGTGTGCTGCAGGGATGGAAGAGCACTCGAATCTTTCCTGAACAGGACCTCCTCTTGCAAATACTCAATCGATCTGTAGCAGAAGGCATGGATCTCCCATGCTATCGGCCGAACATCCAACTATTTCCTAACCCACCCTGAAGATCAAAACCGTTTTTTTATCGCTTAGAAGGCTGATCGCTTCGGCGTACTGATTCGAATGCGTTTGAAGATGTCTTGCGCTAGGCCTGCGGCAGAGGATCATCGAGAACGCCTCAACAACTCTGCTGTGCAAATCTTCCTCGTCTAGAGACCAGATCGATTGATCAAGTGCCTGACGCAGATCGCCAATGGATCATGGGCGCCTAGAATATGGCGAAGCGTCCAAGTTGCGCTACGCAGGAACGTGCCATGTACGGATTCGAATTTCGACGCGCCGTCACAAGATTCGCGAGGAGAACAAAAGGCCAAAATGCCATGTCCAACTCTAAATGAGCCGGATCATTTGGCGCAAAGCTTCGCATTCGAGCAAACAATGAGCGGCTAGCCCCTACAAGCCAGCAAGTTTGAACACTCGCTCTCGACCTCGTCAACCGTAAGCCGAGGCAAACGCAACCTGCAAACGACCTGCTGGATGGTGGCCAGAGGACTGTTCCTCTCGTCGTCAGCTGGCCGGTTCGCCCCGTATCTTTTCTATTTCCACATCGGCATTCTGCGTGTCGCAGGCGAAAGAAGAAACTCCCCCTCTCTCAACAACGCGGGTGCCAGCATGCCAATTTCATCCACCTCGATTCATTGGACAGTCCTCACCATCCCCCAAAGGAACTTTCCCCGCCACAGGCTCTGAGTTGCAAATACATGCTCTTGGCGGTGGTGCAATGCAACCTGGAAATGTCTTGGACACATGCGGATCACACCTAGCAGAGTCGCCAAGATCTGGAAGCGGCTTAGAATGCCAGCCTAGCTTGTATTCGGCCAGCGTCGTGGGCGCAATAAGCGTGCTACTCTCTTGAATGAAAATGCTGCCGCTCCCTCGCCTTCTAGATGCGCTTCCCATCGACTCCAACAACCATTTCATTGTCGGCAGTTCTTGGACCAAAGACAAGCCATCACAAGCACCTCACAAAGCCCCGAGAAACCGTCGAAGCCTCACCCAATCGCTCGGGCCCGCCAACGAGATATGCCGCTGACGACTTGTACAACATGAGTGTCAAGTCCGTGAACGTCGGCCGCTTGAACGCCGTGAACAGCATAGCAAGTACGAATAATTCGGAACCAGAAACCAACCAGCATGGCCACCTTACTCTGTGGCAGTCAATCAAGAAGTGGCGTCGCGTCGTTCTCTACTGTATCGGCATGACTTCCGCCATCCTGATGTACGGCTACGACTATGTCATTGTTGGCACAGTTTCAGCAATGCCCAGCTTTCAGTATGTTTCCTTGCCCTTTGAGGCTCCCTGTCCTTGGTATTGAACCGTCTGGCTAACAAAACCTTACCAGGCATGACTTTGGTCAACAGCTTAATGGAAAGTGGATTCTGCCTTCACTCTGGCTCGGTCTCTGGAACTTCGTCAGCCCAGGCTGCTCCATGATTGGCTCTTTGATTGGAGGTGTATTCCAAGACAGATATGGTCGTCGAGCGTCGCTTGCATTGGGATCCTTTCTGTCAGCCATTGGTGTTGCTGTCTGCTTCGTTTCCAACCTCTCTCATGATATCCATACCCGGCGAATCATCTTCCTTGCTGGCAAAGGCTTCCAAGGAGGGGCCATCGGCATGGTCATGACGACTTCCCAGACGTACATGTCGGAGATCCTACCGCCTAATCTCAGAGGACCGCTGCTGGCCTTTTTCCCAATCTTCACGCTGCTTGGCCAGTTGACTGGTGCCGCAGTCATCTTCGCGTGCCTTAACCTGGCGAACGGATACACTATTTGCTTTGCATCGCAATGGCCATTTTCTGCCCTTCCATTGTTAATGGCGTTCCTGATCCCCGAAAGCCCGACGTATCTCATTCGGAGGAACAAGAATTCCCAGGCTCACAAGGCTCAACTGAAGCTGGATCCCGCTGGTGCCGACCCTGAGGACACTCTCGACACCATCCGCCGCAACATCGAGCATGAAAGGCGACTGACCAATGCGACCTATGTCGACTCATTCCGCGGTGTCAACCTTAGGCGCACCTTGATCATCATGTTCTCCAACTCATTGCCAAACATCTTCGGTCTGACGTTGCTGTCAAAGTCGAGCTACTTTGTGCAAGTCGTTGGCATGAAAGCCAACCTAAGCGTCATCGTTCTTATACTCGGCCTCGTCTGTGGTTTGGTTGCCAACATCATGAGCGTATGGGTTCTCTCAAGGGTGGGACGTAGGCGGCTCATTCTAAGCACGCTATCCGTCTTGTTCATCATCTGGACCGCCATGGGAATTGCCGGCTGCTGGTCGAGTCCAGTGATACCATGGTACGTTAACCATAGCCTCGTGGTCGTGAACACCGCCCTAACTGACTGCAACAGGTACACATCCATGACATTGATAGCGGTAGTCATTGTGGCGGGTCTGGGAGTTTGGCCTGCCTCACACGTTGTCGGTGCCGAAACCTCAGCGCTGCATTTGCGTTCCAAAGCCCAAGCTATCGGTTGGTTTACTGCGGGAGCAAACAACTCCATCTTTGGATTTGTGTTGCCATACATCTTCAACCCCGACAAAGGCAACCTTAAAGCCAAGACCGGTTTCGTGTTCGCTGGTCTTTGTGCCCTCGGGCTTGTCATTGCCTTCTTCCTGGTACCCGAGATGAAGGGACGAACGCCGGCTGAAATTGATCGCATGTTTGAGTTGAGGCTACCGGCACGACAATTCCGCCACTGGACCAACTCAGCCTCGGAAGGAGAGAAGAATGGTTCGGCTAGAGTTGAGAACTCTGCCGCGTAGTATTCGGCTGCTTTCTCCCTTACCCTGAATGAACATACCTGCATTTCCATCGCCATCCAGCGACTGCAATGAAGACCAGACTGCGCCTCGCACCCGCCGGCCCCATTGACACTCACCTCAATCCGCAATGAAACCTGTCTGCACGCACTGGCATGGCGTTGCTTTTCATCTGATGATGTCTTTCGCCAAGCTTTGCGCACCGGCCTTGGAATCATCTTTGTCCGTGACCATGAGCTTCTGTTCAACGGCTTTCCACCCATCGAGATTATTGATTAGGCCCCTAGTTCATTTCACCAACGTAATCAAATCAATCGATGCATTGGTGCCGTGAGATATTTCCAGTCATCAGCACAATCTATGCCACGGCATGAAGTAGACCACAGCTCTCTCACCCGGAGGTCAGCAGTCGTGCAGTGTCAGTCGGGTATAAAGCCCGCCTCTGACAGCGCTAAACCTCGACTAGTGACCGAGCGCCCGAACATCAGATCAACATCGTACGTGTGGCTATCGAAGGCTAGTGGTGCATGTTGCCGCGCGCGCTCAAGCAATTGGCGACTGGGGAAAGGAGGACTCTCTGCAGGATCCTCTCGCTCAAGCAGTATCAGTGGCTGTGTTCCGTTTCTGATTGTCAGTGACGTGAGACGACATGGTCGGGCATCCACAGTCAGCAAACATATTTGCGAATAGCCAGAAGTGGACAAAGCGAGCCTTAGCTTGAATGGAGCAATTGGACAGCACGTCAATTTGCAAGCTGGCCGCCTCTTGCGCTTGACAGGCGCCGGATAACAATACTTACCAACCAACGGACCCAAACACCCTCAACAACCTTGCTTTGTACGACTTACCCGCATCTACCCAGAAAACATATCTTGTAGACAGCCACGTTATCATTGAATAAGCGCACGGAAGCGACCGCCCGCTCTCCTCAGTCACCCACCGTCCATGGCCCAAGCTAAGTTCGATGAAAGGGCACATGCCATCAGTTCTCACTTTTGCCGGTAATCCCATCCGGCTGGGAAGTTCCAAGACTGTCTGTTCGAGATCCCGGCCCGATCGTCTGATATCGGAGACAGAAGAACAATAGTCTAGGCCGACTTTCCCATAAGACAGTTCGCGATGAAGCACCGCCACTTGATAGCTTAAAACCACCATGCACCAATGAGGCACGCACGGGTCCCGTCTGTCGGGTACGGGTACGACGTCTCTACCCGGGCTAGCCCCGTCCAGCTTTTTGAGGTCGCATCCCGGTGCTCAATTCCAGTGTCGTGCTTACACCCGCTGGCCTGAAGAGGATAGCAAGCGTCAGGATGGCCGTCATGCTACCGAAGAAGCACCATGCTTGTCGAGAAAGGCGTGCTGGCGTCGCTGTCAGCACTTGAACAGACACACGAGGAAGTTTACACACAATACTGGCCACAGCTGATGTGAGAATAGCCTGTCAACGGTTATTTCGTGAAGATATCAGCTCAATCTTATCAGAACTCCTGAGCGACCCGATTTGCAGGATCCTACCAAACGCTCAGTGGCATGAGTCCGAGGCCTTGGGACCAGGATTTCAAACTCTGTGATTGCGTATGCCAGAATCGGCGGTACGTCTCCAGACACCCAAAGCTACCGCCTTTCATATCAGTCCAGCCCTGGACTGTCGATATGGTATCAAAGAATGTTGTTCCGCACTGATCCGCGCGGCATCAACCAATGAAACAATCGAGAGATGAGTGCGGACGACAGCAAAGCACTCACCGAGCTGCAAGCAAGCAGGCTCGCAGCCCGGCAACGTTGGTTAGCTACTCGCCCCCGAGGACCCGACTGCCCTTTATGGCCCGAACTGTGATACTCTTTGAGGCTCAAGATTCTGCAGTCTGCGGTGGGGCGTCAGCCGGTATGTACCTCGCCAATGTGAGATGCATATGCCAGCGCACGGCAAGCCGGGCCTCGAGCTTGGTTGCCACCCTGAGATGCGAAGCAAGCACCGACAGGGCATGTGCTTCCCAAGATACTAAAGAAGGGCGAGCACCTGCAGTTCTCGTTTCTATGCTCCCTGTGTCTTCAGCTTGTAAATTCTCTCGATATTCTTTGCAAGTTTCGTGCGGCATTCGTCTTGAGCACGATTGCCCAAGATGGCTTACCGACAACAACATGAGAGCGTCCTCTCGACGTCGTCTTACTCTTCGACGGCGTACGATCCGGCCGCCGCTTCGTATACCGCCCTCAAGGAGCCGAAGGAACATGACCAGCGAGGAATCTCCGATCCCATGCTCGTCGACGAGTCGGACAGTATACCAGAATGGAAACCTTCCAAGCACCAGATGGTCATCATCACGACGTTATCCATCATGTCGTTCGTGATTGCCTTGGACGCGAACGTGATTGTCACGTCTTTGAGTGTAAGTCGGCCTTCGTAGCGACGATTTTTGGTAGCTTGATGCTCACATGCTTCTCTTGCGCAGTCAATCATCCAAGATATTGGGGGAACATCCACGCAGGCTTTCTGGGTTGGCACATCCTACCTGATATCTTGCGCAGTCGCAATGCCTTTCTTGGCCTCCCTGAGTGACATCTTTGGCCGTCCCATCATTCTGATTGGCAGCTTGGTTTTCTTCACTGTTGGAACTATCCTTTGCTGCGTGTCGAACGGTATCGGGCTGCTTCTCGGAGGTCGTGTTATTCAGGGTATTGGTGCCGGCGGCATGTATGTGCTCAGCTTGGTTGTCTTTACCGACATTGTGCCACTCCGCCATCGCCCCAAGTACTACGGAATCATGTGAGTAATGATCTACCCTGCGTGCGCAATCATAACTGACACCATCTTCAGTCAGATGGCGTGGGCTATCGGCTCCCTTACCGGCCCCATCATCGGCGGTGCTGTTGCCGAGCACACTACCTGGAGATGGATCTTCTACCTGAACTTCCCCATCTGTGGCTACTCCCTGCTCGCCATCCCTATCCTCTTGACCTTGAAGCCTCCCACGGCAACTTTCAGCGAGAAGCTCAAGCGTGTCGACTGGCTTGGAGGTTTCTTGTTCATCGGCTCCATGGTGACATTCCTCGTTGGTATTTCCTGGGGCGGCAACGACTTCCCCTGGCGCAGCGCGCAGACCTTGGTGCCTGTCTTCATCGGCGCTGCCGGTTTGACAGTGACTCTGTTCTACGAGCACAGCTACGCGAGATACCCGTTCTTGAAGAAGATTCTCTTCACCGACCGCAGCGCCATCACGGTTTACGTCCTCGGCCTTCTTCAGGGTTTCATTGTACGTACATAACACAAACACGCCTCCGATGATCATTCGCTAACCCCTCGTAGCTTTATGGCCAGCTGTACTACATCCCCTTTTACTTCCTCTCCGTCTCGCAGTACAGCCCTACCATGGCTGGCGTAGCCATGCTTCCCGTCACCCTTCTCCTCCTCCCGGGCTCCATCATCTCCGGCATCCTCGTCTCCCGTTTCAACGCGTACCGCTGGTCCATCTGGATCGGCTGGGCCCTGATGTCGATCGCCTCCGGTCTCCTCATCTACTGGGACGTGGACACCTCCTTGCCCGTTCACATCGTCACCCTCGCCATTGGCGGTATCGGCCACGGCTTCGTCCTCAACGCCCAGACTTTCGTCACGGGTGCCATCGTCGAGCCCGAGAACTCGGGTCACGCCGCGGCCATGTACCTCTTCCTGCGCATGTTGGGCTGCGCCATCGGCGTCAACGTTGGTTCCACCACGTTCCAGAACGTCATGGCTATGAAGCTTGAGCGCAAGGGTATCGCGCAGGATATCGCTCAGCGCGCCGAGGAGTATCTTCTCGTCATCAAGGGCCTAGCAGACGGCACGTTCAAGGATGCTGTCTTGGAGTCGTATGCGTTCGGCTTCAAGGGCGTGCACGGCGTGTACGTCTCGTTGGCGGTGATTGCCTTCTTCGCGAGCTTCATGATCCGTCACTACGATTTGAACAAGATCCACGAGACGGCGCATACGTTGCACCAGAACCGGGTGTCGAGGATGTTTGATACCCGCAAGAGCGCGAGCCAGGGACGACCTCAGCCTATTCCCTCTTCGCCCGGTGACAGTTCGTAGACTTCCTCGGGGTTACGATCATTGAGCTGCGTGAGTGTTATCAGACGCTCAACAACCAGCACCCTTTGCAATGGTATGCATGGATAAGTAAGGATACTTGGGGTCGGGAATACGGATACACGGACACACTTGGCACTGAGCATGGAGTTGCGGTATCATAGACACAGGATATGCTGACGGGGTTGGAAGGGATTGTCATGGGTCATTAAGTCTTTTACACGGATAATCTAGCATCATTCATTTACTTGCATATCATCTCATCGCTTGCTGCGTCTTGTACGTGACGATTGTTCATCGCTCTTGAGCATCTGGCTGCCTACGATCCTCGTGATGTCTTTGCGCATTACGGTGTTGTTAGAAACACTGCAATCCTTGAGTGTTCTCTCAACAGGTGGAGAGCACTGAAGGCTACAAGTAGCTGTTTTAAATCCTTACGGATACTCGCCGAGCTGCAAAGACGTCGACTGCCTTAAGCAATACCAAGACGACGATCTCTCGTAATCATAAACTTTATACAATTGACAACGATATGCGTGGCAAAGGTTTGGTATAACAGCAAGCCTCTGACCTTCCGAGGTCCATATCCGGAGCAGCCCATGCTTCAAGGCACATAACTAAAGTAGTGTAGGAACCAATTGCCGGACCGTTCTTTTCCCCTGCCCTACGGATACAAAAAGTAAGGCGGAAAAAAGGGACTAGCAAACGCATAAGTCTGAGTACCTTATTATCAAAGAAAGTTAATTCTTTCTAAGTTATAAGTATAAGAATATAGTTTTAATAAAATAGTATAGTACTTACTTAGTACTTAAATTAAAATACTTTTTAAAGCTTATTATAAAAAAAAGATAATTATATTATTAATTACTTATTATTAAGGTTTATAAGTAGTACTATAATTTTAATTACTATAGTTTTAATTATAATAGCTTTGCTTATAATAAGTAAAAAGTTTAATTATAAATCCCTTAAAAACTTCTTATTAAGAGCTATAAGAGCCTCTAAGTTAAATTAAAATACTTATTAAAATATTAATAACTAAACTAATTTTATAATAACGATTTTAATAAAAAACCTAAAAAAAAATATTAAAATCCTCGCTATTATTAAGTATAATTTACGAAGTATAATAATATAATTATAGAGTATTATTAATATATTTTATATTAAAAAGGGTATTATTAATATTAACGAGACGGATAAGGCTATATTAATATAATACTTTAGCTTCTTCTTATAGCTCGAGGATAATTATTTTAAATAATATTAAAAGTTTATTAAAAAGCTCTTTTAAGTATTTTAATATATTTATTACTATTTTTATAATAATAAGATTCTTAGTACTTATATATAAAAATAAATTATTTATTTTTAAATAATAATATTAGTTTATTAATAAGTTATTAAAATTATAATTTTAATAATCCCTTAATAAGGGAGAGGGTAGAATAGAGGAAAAGATAAGTAATTTATAAAAAAGGTTAAGGTTAAATAGTACGGAATTTGAGGGCAGGGTAGCGTCTATATGTACTGCGGTAATCCTCTAGTAATGCAAAACGATGGAGTTAAACAGTGTAAACGCATGAGTCGGGCGGGATTGAGTTATTCACATCCTGGCTGGGGTTGTAGTGCGTTTGATGAGCTACTCAAACTCTATTGCGTGTTCCCCACGTTCATCATCATGGATTCACCCGAAGGCGCCGATGTCCGTACGCCGTAGTCGGGGTAAAACTTCAATGAACTCTCTCGCTAGGCAGGTCTTTCTGTAGCTGTGGTCGCCTTTTTTGCGTCGCTTTCGTATCGTCCCATGGTCCTCTGAGGTGGCGATATTTCACTCGAGGCACACATCATTAGGCTATTCAGTCGCTACCTAGTCCAGACTCATCGGGGTAGCTACGACAATGAGAGTCCATTCACTCTTCCACATTGCCGTGCCTCTATTGGCAACTGCAGCTTCGGCCGCGGACGGTCCGATAGTCGACCTGAAATATGCCAAATACCAAGGAACATTCAACTCGACCTTGAACCTCAACATATTCAGAGGGTAAGCCCTCTCAAACAAGCTCTCTCAAACAACAACTCCCTTCACGATCTGACCTCACCCCAGAATCCGCTACGCAGCCCCTCCAACAGGCGACCTCCGCTGGAAACTCCCCCAAGACCCAACATCCAGCGGCACAAACGCATCCAACGACACCGTCACCCCAGCCACAGCAAACCCGCCGCGATGCCCATGGGCCCGCCGCTCCCTGCGATACCCCAAAACAGCAGCCGAAGAAGCCGCCCTCCAGAATTTCGCCTTCGCCGGCGACGAAGACTGTCTCTTCCTCAACGTCTTTGCTCCGGCCGGCGCCACGGCCCTGCCGAAACCTCTCCCCGTGGTGGTTTGGATCCACGGCGGCGGGTATAACCTCGACTCGGCGTCCTCCTTTGACTTTTCTTCGCAAATTGCGACGAACAATAACAGCTATGTGGCGGTCGTGATACAGTACCGTCTGGGCGCGTTTGGGTTCCTTTCGTCGGAGGAGCTTCTGAAAGGCGGCGGGGTCGCGAATGCTGGGTTGTGGGACATGGTCCACGCGTTGAGGTGGGTGAAGACGCATGTGGGCAAGTTTGGAGGGGATCCGAGGAGGGTGACGGTCGCGGGACAGTCTGCTGGTGCGGGAGGGGCATTGTTATTGGCTGCGAGTGATGAGGCTGTTGGATTGTTTGATGGTGTTATTGCGAGCAGTCCGTACTTGACTACTCTGCCGTGAGTGACCCCCTTCACCCTTATTGAGGTCTATGTGTAAAGCAAGAACTGACACGTCACAACAGAAAACACGACGGCGATAGACCGACGAGAGCATACAAAAGCCTAGCAGAGCGTATAGGCTGCTCTGCAAATGCTACATCCTCATCCCTCCTCTCCTGCCTCCAGAAAGCAGACTCCCTCACGCTTCAGAATGCAAGCGACTGGGTAAGCACCCAAGGCCGCTACGGCCAATGGGAATGGCGGCCCGTCATCGACGGCAAACTCATCAGCGACACCCTCACGCAGGAGTTGTCGCAGGGGAAAGCCGGCGTCAACGGGCGGCGGGTCCTCACCAGCAACGTCGCGGATGAAGGACCGTATTTCACGTGGCAGAATATTACCACCCAGGCACACTTTGTCTCGTTCCTGCAGAGCAACTACCCCGCGCTGTCGGGGGGTAACGTGACGGAAGTCCTCGCGACGTACGCGCAGAAGCACGAGGCATTCTTGACGGCCAACTCAAAGGACGCGAACAACACGGACCCAGGCTTCAGCACCAACGGTCTCGAATCGCCGTACGCAACGACGGTGTCAGACTACGCTACGGGCTGGCAGCAGGTCGCCAACAACTTCTATGCTGAAGCGACGTTCGTGTGTCCCTCGCACTGGCTCGCGAACGCGTACGCCGCCAAGGATGGGGCGAGAGCGTGGCGGTATCAGTATAGTGTTCCGCCGGCGTACCACGGCGTTGATATTGGTTCTGGGTCGGCTGTTGATGTGTTGCTTGCGCCGGTGGATACGCCTGGGACGGCGGTCACGACACCTTTGCGGCTGGGGTTGCAGAATGCTTGGGGGCAGTTTATCACGCGCGGGGAGGGGTTGGTTCTTGGTGGCGAGGCTGGAGGAAACGCGACGGTGTGGGCGCAGTGGAAGGAGGGCGGGAGGGGCGTTGCGAGTATGTTGAATGCGAATATGACTGGCGGTGTACCGGTTGGTAAGGCGTCTTCGTTTGATGGGATGGTGAGTCTGAATATTACCAGCTATGCGCCTGGGGATGCTGGCAGTCCGCCGCTGGAGGCTGTGTTAAAGGTCGTTGATGGGGATAGGTGGGAAGATGGACGGGGAGAGAGGTGTCGGTTGTTGGCGGATTTGAGCCCTTGGCTGGCTGATTGAGTTTAAGAGTCGCAGACTAGTTGTGATATCTATCGATCATGACATTCAGAGCCGATGAGGAAATGGATTATGGTTCCGTCAATATAAACCTCTGAGTTTGCCCTCGCGTCAACACCAAAATATGCTCGCTAGCGAGGTCTCTCATGAGCTCAATATGCAAAGAACTGACTCAATTCCAGCCAACGGCCCCAAAACTCCCTTCTCCTTCATCATGTCTCCAAATTTGGACGCAGAGGTTACTCTCTAATAGGCCATCTTTTGGTTAGTTGATGCAGTTGAAGAGTCAAAGGTTCGTTGCCGTTGCCTTTGTTTTGATTCGGCTAATTACCTAATTAGGCATAGCTCCGGATAGTCCCCTCGGCATCTCGGCCCCGCGCCAACGGCCCTCGATTCTGTATTTGAAGCGCTACATGCCCTTGACGGTAAACGTAAAAACGCAATCCTCTGAGTGGATGTTCGTCTTTGATTTACTTTCAAGACAGCAAAAGGCTTGCCCTGTGTGGCGATGTTGACGTGGGCTCTGCCATCCCGCTGGTTCGAGCGGATGAGTCGAGATAGGTTCATTGCAACTTGAAGTCTCCTAGGTTCGATCTATACGTAGCCATTGCTTTGGACATAATCGCCAAAAGTAAGAAAGTGACCAAATGATTTGCGTCTTCGTATTGTATCTCGAAGATCGAATCTGGAATGAGCTTTATAACATGACTAAATCAACTTTGAATCGATACGAAGAGGGAAGCCCATTGTTGGCAGCGATAGGACGATAAGCCTTAGTACCGGCGTGCCACTCCCCGCTCCGAGGTTCGGCGAAGCGTCCCTTATCTCCCGTCCCCTCCACCTCCGCGTATCTCCCCTCACCACACTTGCCTGACATCCAGCCCCCAAGACTTCGGGGTCAACAACCATAGACAGGCACAATTCGGTCAGAAATCATCAACCGCGCTGCTTGAATACGTTTCATTCTGTAATATTAGAAAAACCATGGATTCGGGATCCCATGCGTCACCGAGGCGCCTGTCAATGAGCAGCAGACACGGCGTAAGTCGCGAAGCGGCCAAGACCATTTCGGCGTGAGTCTCCGAGACCCCTTCCAGCC